AGATTCAGCCAGTCTTTGCTTCGAAGGTGGTTTTTTACCGTCTTCGCGCATGCATGTTGTTGAAGGCCGTTCAGTTTCTGAGAAGTCCAAAACACTGCATCCCTCTCCAATGGTTCCTTTGGGAATAGACATGAAAAACGGATGGAGACTCATTGTGAACACGGCTGCATGAAACGCAGTAAACATAATAAATTAACAATATACGAACCAATTTGATTTAACTGTGTACTTTATATTTCACATGTCTAACTGTTAATAGATAATAGCTAGTAAACATTTAAGCACACCCAGTTCACACTAGCAGAGTAAAATAATTTGATAGAGGACTCGCAGGAGTGACAGTCAACGTCTACCAAGTATTGCTGTGATAACAAGAAGTGACGCGGGCTTTGTCATGGGATAAGCACATAGTTAAACTACACAAGTATATGTTAGTTACTTTCTAACACAGTAACAGTGGAACCACTTTTATAGACATATAATAATAATTTACGACCAAAACTGTTACTACTTAACAGTTGCTGAATCCAACGGCATAGCTAGGCATACGCATTATATGCACGTGCGTATATTTTTTTTCTGTGCTCATCATAATTTTGGTGACTTTTCTCTAAAGTATTTTGCACTGCGAATCATAATCATTCCAGCGATAACTATATGCACATATCTTTGTAAGTAAATCTCGCCCATTATACTAGCGTCTAGAGTTTGGAACAATGGTAACTAAGATAGACTAAGCTACTTCTTTAATTATTGTGACTAAAATTGAACGTTTAATATTGGTTTCCAAGGGTTCTAATTGTATTAAAAACAATTGGGCCTAACATGTGTTTTTATATCGTTTCATTTATATTTGTGCAATAGCTAGACGAACTACTTCTTGTTCTTTTCCAAAAACTACTTCCCTCAACAATAACAGCGACTTGGAGTGGTCTCAGTTCGCTATTTTCTCCAACTAATTCTCTGTACTTGATGAGTTATCTGATATATTTTTCAAATATAAAAGTTCGTAAATCTATTTAGAAATTTGATTGGAACTTAAAATAATTAGATGTGATTTTACGTTAACAAAACAAAGTCGACTAATTACCAGACGTGCTTGCTAGCAATGACTTCTAGATTTAGCTATTTCAGTCTTGATTCATCCACTGTCAATTGCTCAAGACCATAATTAGTTTCATTGAACCAGGCTTGGCATGACCAAACACATCACAAACTCATCGAGCGTGCACTAACTGTATATCAATATGGGTGCATGTATTATTAAATTGTTGACGTCCTATTATTGATGGCTAGCTATCAACCCTATAGTGTATAACAAAGCGCTTTTTATGCCTTTAAAATGTTTATTATTAAGTTATTTAATTCAGAAAATCGGTAATTTCATGCATTTCTATTTAACTTTTGTTTTACTGTATACCTATATTTTTGATATGTATCGATCTAATCATTTCGGATAATTTGAGGCAACAAAAATAAAAGTGTCGTGAGATTAGCCGGGAATTTGTCTACGGATTTAAGGAGAGTCATCTTAGACCAAACTCGAGTATTCCATGTTATTTTCTATTTCCTGTACAGAATTTTTGGCTAACTTGAACGTATCATTAAGGAAAAAATCTTAACGCTCACTAGTTCGCTGAAACTGTTTCATAAGCAAAATAGCGTAAATAACGTTTCTGATTGTTATAAGAGCTGATTTTTAAAAATAATGAATAGGGAAACAGCTGTATACTTCCAGCTTAGATTAATGACAATCGAACCAAACTTCTGAACATTGTCTGACGACTAGCATCTAAAATTTACTAAACATATTTTACTTCAACCGAAATTAACATCAAGGAATTAAATCAAACTTTTCGGTGTGATCTTTGTCATTAATAAACTTAGCTCTAAACGGTTATACGCGCCTAGTATCAAAAGGATTATTCAAAGCTCATATTAATCTTCTTAAAAGAAGTTAGGTCGTTTTTAGTTAGTCCCAATAAAGAAGTGAAATTCTTCATCTACAGTTGGTATCCTCTTACAAAAGGTTCGCCATGTCTTTCTTTCCTGTGCCGCTTTGACGCATCCTGCATAGTATGTCTTTTACCCAATTCCGTCTTCGTCTCCCCCTTTGTCTCTTTCCATTGGTTTTGCCCTCCAGTAATGTTCTCTGTATTGCCTGCTCTCTGACCACATAACCATAATATCTACACGTGAAATTATAGCTAAGTAAAACCTCCAGCTGTTCCATCGAGGGACAATTAAAAAGGGTTAAAGACGTATGGAAATCATCAAATTGTTTAAACTTTACTGTGTTGTAAAACAGCTTTTAAGATAATTCCTTCTTTTGTGATATATAGCAGAAAGTGATATTATAGGCTATCTGTGCTGTGCCCATTGAGGGCATAAAAACCGGATTTTAAGCATTATAAGCCCTCAGAATTACTTCTGAGCCACTCGTTGTTGAAGTTACGTTTTTATAACACTATACCTTTTTCTATAAAACTAGAAGGAGGAGTGAAAATCAGTTATGACATGAGAACACAGGGCCAGGTTGACTAAGAACTTTTGTTAGCATTTCTCGTGGAAGTCTACATTCAAAATAAAGTAAATCAATGTTTCATATAACCTAAGTGTGGAGAAAGTGCTAATTAATGTACATAAAAGCGATCGATATTCTTTGCTGTCTTGATACTTATGTGGAACTAAAACTTTATTCGAAGAGAATTTACAACAAATGAAATGGTTTAAGCTTATCATATGTGATCTAAAAGGTTTTTGTTTTATATCACTTGGATATTCTCAAACTGTCAAGCGAGATCCTGTGTGGTTTTTACACATTCCTATTATTTCTATATACTAGTAGTTTATTACTTTTCCTTTCTGAGAGAATTTGTCGTCTCCGAATCTACAAAAAAACAATTTCATGTTGTTTTCGGTGAATCTCACCAGTTTTTTATCCTACTGAGGCTGGTGGTTCATCGATGAGTTTAATAACAGTTTATTGTTGACTCTAATTACAGTTGAGTGATTATAGAGTGTCATCAGGTGAGAAAACGTTGTCTAAAAACACTTCAACTTGTCTCAAAGACTTTAAAACGTTGACAGAAAACACTTCAACTTGTCCCAAAGACTTAAAACGCTGACTAAAAACACTTCAACTTGTCCCAAAGACTTTTAACGTTGACTAAAAACCTTTCAACTTGTCCCAAAGACTTAAAACGTTGACTAAAAACACTTCAACTTGTCCCAAAGACTTAAAACGTTGACTAAAAACACTTCAACTTGTCCCAAAGATTTAAAACGTTGACTAAAAACACTTTAACTTGTCCCAAAGACTTTAAAACATTGTTTATAAAGAATATTGCGTCGGAGCTGTTCGCAGACTGAGCAACTCATAAACAATTTTATTTGGTTTGGTTTGTTTGTTTGTTTTAGCGCAAAGCTAAACAATAGGCTATCTGTGCTCTGAACACGGAGGGGAATCAAACACTGAATTTGTAAGATCGCAAGCTTACCGCTGACCTACTGGGGGTATTTTACTTGGGTAAGGGAGGTTACGCTGTAACGGTTGATTATTAAAGTACGGTTTTGAATATTGGAAATTATTTCAATAGATAAATCAGTCTACTATAGATTAAACTTATATTTGCTTCTGATCTATATTTTTAAAACTAGCATAATGATTTAAAACTTTTTTTCTCTTCGTTAAACTCTTTTATTTCAAAACAATGTACATGTTATAATAATTGAGCCCGAAACATCCAAACTTATGATAATAATGAACAATTTCGATTAAGATAAACACAAAGCATAACACGAAAACCTATGTCATCACCATATTATCATGAAAACCCAACTTTAGTTAGTTGTCAGTTTGATGGCACTTATGAGTTAGGTCTAACTTCATATTAACTGTCGGTAACCGCTGGAAATAACACATTCCATACACGCACACATGCAACTTTGAATTATAATTTCCTTTAAGGATACTTCATATTAACTGTCGGTAACCGCTAGAAATAACACATTCTATACACGCACACATGCAACTTTGAATTATAATTTGCTTTAAGGACAATGAATTTTATTTTTATATTGGTGACTATTGGCGATTTTAAAGTGTTTTTAAGTCGTCTAGCAAATATATCAACATTCTGGTTTCCTGAACTTCTTCAGTTAAAATACATTACGGAACAAAATCTTATAAAAAATGTATCAATATAATGTGTAACTGAAACATTTATTTAAACTGTTTTAAAAACCTTGAAATATATCTTACTACTAGTGTATCATACACTGATTAAAAGGTTAATAGCGTTACAATAGCGTGTTTAGAATCTACATTCTAAGGAGTTAGCGAGAAAGCCAAACAATGGCAGTTGGGTTTGCGGTTTGTTACTTCCGTTCAAGCTTTTCTATACAGTATATAAAACCATATTTATTTCTGACACATAACACACAAACAGTTATCAATATGTACGTCTTTTAACGCATCGACTGAATGTGTATTGTATATACGTGCGTGCGTGTGTGTGTGTGAGTGAGTGTGTAAAGTCCAAAAAAGGTCGCTCTTGACAGGTTGACCTTCAGAGACAAAGACCAGTTCTCTAACTCACACTAATATTTTAGGCCCAAGAGATAAATCTCATTATTAAATTAAATATGATTTTTTTTAAAAAGTACTTACAGATTTCTTAGAGTCACGATTGTAATATAATAGAGACAAAAACTTTGTTTTATATGTAAAGTAGTTATAGAAATAGCTTATGCTAAGTTTATGTGTAACACTAAAAGTTAAATGAAATATTAAAACTTCTGTACATCTAAAACGTTATGGAATTCTATTTTATCAGAATAATTCAATTATCTATATACATAGAGGTAGATTTGGGATCAAAGCTTAAAGCATATCTTTAATATCTACGGTTTTTGATAAAGATAAGAACTGATATATCCTGATCAACTATCCGATAAGAAAGTGGGAAACTTCGTTTTCTAGTGTTGGTTAAGAAAACATTTCGACAGTGTTATATGTTAATGTTCATGTCTAACATTTTTTAGCTTGTATATCATTTGCTTATTTTAGTATTTTTGGCTTACATAAATTTTCAAGACAAAGTCGAGGACATTTAGTGTATAAATTTACAATCCTCCTGGATCAAACTTAAAAGGTAAGGCTGTAAAAACGTTTCTAGATTTACTTACAAAGATAAGATATAAAAGCTCCTTAATGCAGCAAATGGCAGAAAGTATACACCATATTATTTGTCCGTAAGCATGTATTTGGTGTAAGTATACTGTCTGATTGTAATTTTACCCTACACTTAAGAAGACCTAAACTAAATACAGTGAAAAACTTACATGTATGTTCACATTAGTATAATCTGTGTGAAATTGTTAACAACGTTTCTTTTTTAATGATATAATGTGGCTGAACAGCAATTCTCATGTCAGAAGGTTCTCATTTCTCATTTCTGCGTTCTAGCTCATTTTATATGTATTTCCATTCAATTTAGATTTTATCTTATACAATTTGCATTTCAAAAGGATTAATTATTTTAGTTCCTTTTAAATTATATGAAATTAGATTAAGCTCTAGAACTTTCTATCGCGTATTTTTTTTTTTATATAAACTTCGGGCATTATAAACCTTCAGACTTACAGCTGAGCTACCAGGAGGATAGTCTAAGTGATTCAAAATAATAAGAAAGAAATATTACAGTTTGAACAAACTGCTAGCATCATTAGAACGTGTCATACTCTTGGAAAAGATCAGCACTATAAACATTTCCATAGGAAACAAAATTGAACGTGTACTAAATAATAAAATGTGCTTTCACTTGTTGTATTGAAATTTTGTACTGCACTACAGCATTGTACTTTTTGAAGATTCACTAAAACAATTGAAAAAGTAATGCAACATATTCTTATTTTATTATACAAGTTTTGTAGTTAAGCACAAAGCTACACAATGGGCTATCTGTGCTCTGCCCACCACGGGTATCGAAACCCGGTTTCTAGCGTTGTATGTCGGCAGACATACCGCTGTGCCACTCGGTGGGGAGGAAGGGTTATACAAGTCCAGTACTATGATTGATCAATCAAATATAAGAGCAATTGAATTCAAATCGGTATACAGGATTAGATAAGCGAAATTATATAACGAGTTGGTACTTTAGCAGAAACCTTCTAGAAGACAGACGATTTCGAATATTTTTATTTGTAGTTGCTAAATGATTTAATTCAGCCATTGTAGCGAAAGGTATAACTGCAAGCAAGTCAGACTAAAACCAAATAATTAATTTTTAGATATTAGTAATTCATGCGCTTCTGTTAATACAGGGTGATGCAAAAGAGCTGTGCACCACCATCATATTTCAAATCCCGCTCTCACTTCGATTTTTCTAGGTCATGTTTGGGTTTCACTGACTTTGCTAATTTCTTTTGTTACAATATTTGGTTGGAATATCGTTAATCTTGCAAGAACGTGTGGAAATTGTCATTCTGGTATATTGTATCGTGATATCAAAGGTACACGTTTAGAATAGCTGTAATAGCATATGGATGCGCGACATTTGCTTCATAAGTACTAATTGTTTCTTTAAACAGTTAATAAATATAGTTCAGCAATAATATAAATGAATTACTAAAACGACATATGCAACAACTATAATTTGTCAGACTTGTTCAGACAGATAAAAATGCTCAACTACTAATATTAATTTCTTAGAAACTAATGAAATCAAGTTAACAGCGACGAAGTCATACATGCAGTAGACTGTCTTTTATTCGTTATTTTTTGTTCCACGTCGGTCATATCACGTGTTTTATCACATCAAAAAAAAGAGTCAAGATTCTGAGTTGATCATTCATCCTTCTTTCATAATTCATCATTCACTATCATTTAAATCACAGAGTTATGGCAAACATGATTATAGAAAGACTATATACAATAATGGATTTCAAAGTTTTCTTTGGAAAGAAAAGGTCACATTCTAAGAGTGTCATTGTTTATTTTTTCTCAATTTGCATTATCACTGGTGCCATTTTTGTTGGAGCTGTTATTGCTGACTTCATTCTTTCCATTTTTACCATTAATACCGGACACCAATAATAATTAATTATATTTTTGTTAGTTTTATTCAATATTCGTATTCTTCGACGTTAGGACTAAAGCTCTGTTACTTGTTTGTTTTCTATAAGTTCACGCAAAGTTACTTGGAGGCTACTTGCGCTGGCCGTTTCCGATTTAGAAGTGATAAGCAAGTCATAGGGCAGCTAGTCAACAACACTCACCTCCAACTCTTGAGTTAATGTAGTCGAACTGAGAGACTGACCGTCACAATGTAACACCCCCACAACTGAAAGTGTGAACAATTTTGGCGATGCGATTCAAGCCAGCGGCTTGCACATTGTGAGTCGAGTGTCCTAACTAATAGGCTATGCCAAAGCTAAAGCTATCTAGGTGCATATTTGTTAACCTTACAGTACACAGTCGTTTTAGCCTTCATGGACCTCTTTTTTTCTGTTTCGGTGATGCAGCTGTATAAACAAATGTATTGAACAGTTGTTTTTGATTTTCTAGATTCTGGCCCTTCATCCTAATCCTTCTGGTGTAGACGATATTACAACGAAGAAGAGAAAACAGAAATTATATCAGGCGGAAATTTAGCTTGTAACTTAAAGCAGTGTCTTGAACATGAAAACTTGGAACAGTAATTTGGTTTTGATGTTCACTTCAATGGTAAAAGTAAGTAGCTTACTGGCGTCTATGTTATGTTACTCCACGACAATATTTAATATCTGTTGTTGATCTTTTTAACTCATGCTATCATTGCATAGTAAAATTACTCACCACATAATATTTAATTTCTTACAGGCAATCGGAATAAGAAAATAGTCTTGTGTATTTGATAAATAATTATATAAGCAAGCCTAACAAAAGCGGAATTTTTTGCTTAAATGCCTTTTTTTTTTTACAAATTAATATCTTTCAACTTCCAGTTCTCTATCGCCGAAAGCCTTCACATGCTTCTATCGATGACATTTCTAATGACGAGGCCCTGCTTGAGCGAAATCTAACACAAAACTTTGTTGTCAAAGGGTCTAGTTACGTCAGTTTTGCAGTTCAAAATACTGGATGTCGAACGGAAAGAATGGGGAAAATCTCCCAACCCTACTATAACTATGACACTTGTGCTCGCTGTTACAACTATATGCCTAATTACGTATTTGCTACAAGATTTAAGTAAGTTTCAAACTTATTGAGTTATTTTCGAAATTAATTATTTGCATCTTATAAATCAGTCTAGTACAAAACAAGTCTATTTTATCTTCAGTATATCTTACCATTGAATCAAGTTTATTTTGTATCTTACTAATGCTATTCCTGTGATTGAATTTCCTAAAAGAAACGATTTAATTATTCCTACCTTCGAGATAGCATCGTAGTTTCTTTTTGTTATAAATACAAATTTCTTTAAATAAAACAGTAAGTAAATGGTTTGTCTACAGTTTTGAAATCATTATTTTCATGTGCACAAGTTTTTTTTATTTTTAAAAGTTATTTACTTCATTTATTTGGTTTAATTCAGTAATTTTGTATTTATAATCTCAGTTGTCGTCACAAAGCATTATTTTCGATAAATTAGCTAATGAGATCTCATATTACATTCCTCCAAATTGTGGAATCTGATATGATGTAACAAGTTTCAAATAACAAGTTCGTTCTAAATCAGTCTTCTTAATCTATGCTATATTTTAGACATTTGGTAGCAAGTTTTATTCTACCTTCGTTAAAAGTGACTTTTCTGCTTTGTTCATAATATTCCCTCTTCTGTTATCCCAATGTTACTTTTATTTTTCTGGAATTAAAAAATTATTTGATTTAAACTGGCTCAAACAACCCCAGAAACTTCCCAAAGATAGTGTTATCCTTGTTGCATCACTAACTTATGTTTTCAATAACCATTCATTATACTTATTTTTCAAAACTCTTCCATACACTACTTTTCATTTATCTTCCTTTACACTTTAGTTCTAGATACGGACCAAATATTGTTTACCTTCGTTATCTTAACCTTCTTAATAGGTAAGTAGTATGTAATATGTGAAACATACTAGGTGTTTCTTTTCCACTTAGTTTGGGCATGTGCATAGGTTTAGTGCGTAGAAAGATCAGGTTTTTAATGTTACTAACTTACTAATGTCATAGTTACGCATTAGAATAGTTCCTTCACTTTTGGTGTTTCTGAATGTTCCCATGGAAATTTTCAGTAGAGAAGAATGTGATTTTTTGTACTATGTATGTTCTATATTGCAGTCAACTATGTAGAGATTTTAAAATACCAGGAGACTAACTCCATCCTTTAAACTTATGAAATGGGCGAATGACGTGGTTGGTACAGCACGCTCTGAGATAGAGATGGCCCTATTTTATTTTATATATAGTAGTTAATTATGTTAGTCTAGGTCAGAATATCATCAGATCTTACCAAATCTTCTTCCGACTCAGAGCTTTTGATAGTTTGAATATATTGATGTGCAGAATTTTATACACCTGTTAATTGTGCCATGTGTTGTACATAAATAACACAGGCCTGCGATGGTTTTATTGTCTTGAAATTTTTACATGTTCTACAGTTTTGAGACTAAAAGACGAAGACTTCACAAAAAAATCAGGATGAATGAGGATGCTTATTCGTTTGACATCAATGTTCTTCCCTTTTC